CGAGTAGTATTTGATCTGTTATTTTTCTTAGTTAGGTTAGGGTCTTCTTGTACGCCGCGCTTATTATTAGTAATATAATTCATAAATATTTTGTATTTAAAGTATATTTATGAGTTACATATTCAATGTTTGATATGATGCAGACGAAACCACATTGGATATTTTGCATTTTTTTTAGTGATGCAATTTAACATGAAATCTTGACATTTCAAGATAGGGCAATCTATTATTTAAATAATTGTTATTTTTTTATTAATTGAGTATATGTCGTGGTAGTACATTATTCATTTCACTAAAAAATGCAGTAATTTGAAGATGATGCGTATAATAATTTCATTGTAGTCACTTCAGTACATTGTATACTCATTTCCGTTTATGAATATAGCATGAAATAGTTCTACATAAAGAGAATTACATAATATAGAAAATACAATAAATTCGCAATGGCCTACAAATAACGGTCAGCTGATAAAAAAAATAATATTCATATCATTAATGTGTGCAAATAAATATCGTCGGTAGATTCGAATATAATGTAGAAAAAACAGAAACCACACCGGTATGTTTATGATAGAGAGGATTACGTGGTGGTGCCTTCCTGGATAGGCATGTTATAGCAGTTAGCGCAATACCACGAGACGCGACAGTACGTTTCAATCCCGGAACCAGTGTCGCGAGACACAAAGGTATCATTCGTATTTGCAAGTTCCATGAAATAGTGGAACACGTGTACTGGGAATCGCAATAAAGTATCGGTGCATAAAAAGAAGACGTATTAAGTTATGTCACCTGTGCATCGATATGCACGCCCTAGTGAAAAACCGCGTGTTATGGAACAATTTAACACGTTGTGCATGTATGACCATTGAAAAGTGCATTGCGATTTCCAGTTACCATGGCCGGTGTTTTCGTTGCCACTGGCAAAGAACGCATACGGTTACGTACACGGGTAGAGTATCGAGACGTACTGGCGTGTACTCACGACCACTTTCATGGAGTGTGAGCGTCAAATGCAGGGAAGGTACTACTGTGTTTCACCAGCATGTATTGTGTTCCACGAACATATTTGTATGGTAGACGTATATACTCAGAAGCAATGAGTATTTGTATTCTGTCCATTAAAAAGGACAGGCCCAGAGTTGTCCATCTACTACTTATGCGCAGCATTCTTCCCCTCCGGAGATACCTTCACTATGGGACTTGGATTGACTCGCTTGAGTCAATCTTAGGTCGGTAGTCGGGGATATCTACGAGGGGAAACCTGTAATTGGTTGTAGCTCGTGGGCAGCATTTGGACAACTTTGGTATTAGAATTAATTTTTATGATAGTTAGTATGTTAATAAAATTTTATTTCACCTATTAGTGTGTTAATTATTATTTTCAACAGTTATACCGTCATTTGTACATAAATAACGAAATTACTATAACGTAAATTTATTTAATATTTGAATACAGTATATAATATACCAGGTTACTGTGAAGTAATTTAAGATTAATGTTTGTCTTCATTGATATTTTTAATACTATATCTAGAATTGTACATTTTCAATTTGTACTAAATTATATCACAAATGCGTACTACCACATTACTCGACGACAGAAATAAAAATTAAGTAGTGTATTTTAACTGATGTATGAGACATGACAGACATGTACAAGAAGGCGTTTCGCGACGGGTAGATTTTTGCGTCAAAGTGACATAAAACATAAAACAAAGATCAGTAGGTATATGAAGGTTTCTCATCAACCGAGGATTGTTATAAAGCCGAACGGGTGTAAAAAATAACTGCATTGTTTGAACATTACTTTCCATGAGCATAGCCAGATTATCAGTCAGATTGAAGCAATGTAATTTTTTTTCGTTCAGGTGGGTTGGGGGGGGGGCGTGTGCCCCTCCTGGCTACGTCCATGTGAGTTTCTGCGTTGAATTGAGTTTATGCTGTTGAGTGTGAATAGTGTGCGTATGATATAAAATTTGTGAAAGGGGGATAGGTGTGGAACGCATGTGATTCCATCTATTCTCCTTGGGTCTCCATTCGCAGCAACCTCCACGTGGTGAGACCTGGGCAATCATTATTATTTGGTATATAATTGGCAACTATAATCATCTACAAGTTGGCGAACTATATAGCAAATAATATGAGCCAATTGGTTGCGAGCTTTTGCTCATTTTGATCAATTGATTCTTATTGTTAGTTTCTTTACTGGCTAGATGCAAGTGGCAAGAATTTCTTGTTCTGTATATAATCTGTTCGCACCACCACAGACGAGGCATAACTGATAAAAAAAATCATGCTCGAAGATTCGTATTTTGTAGAGGAAATTTGAAGGAATGTGGCTATATTTCTGTTCAAATTTTCAACTTATCTCGAGATGCGTTGGAGTGAGGGGCGTTCCTAGTGATCAATTAACGGACGCTCAATTATTGGGCTTCTACTGTAATTCGCGAATTCACCGTTCTCATAATGTAGAGGGCAGCAAAAAATCTCTGACTGTTTGCACGATCGGTATTTCAGAACACGTGATACAAAGTCACAATGGTCACAAAGTTCCGTAAGATGTTATGGGCGGTGCGTTAGGTGATGTTAGGTCCATTCTATATTATGGTTGATTATGGTTGCACACAGATGCATATTTACGAATGTTTACGCGAGTGATGTATAAAGTTGATTCACGCAATTATAAGTTTCAATCATAATTTTTAATAAATTCTTATATAAAACTAAACACAAGTGATGTAAATAGAATATAATAGTTGTGGAAGGACCAAGCGTACTATCATCACGTTTTTGATTATAACCTTAACAGTGAAAACAAATGTTCATTTGAATCCTTTTTTCATAAATTTTTAATAATGTTTACCAACATACGAAAGCGTGTATTTAATTATGCCGTCGTTGATATAAAAGGCACCATACGGAAGTATGCCATACCAGTGAGTGCTAAATCTAATGAAACAGAAGGACCAATTTATTCGCCAATATTAGATGTTTCTAACAGTGCTGTACGGAGAAGACAAAAGGAGGAATGGCATAATAAAATTAAAAAATTAGAAACTGTGGAAGAAAAGCTGTTTGGTATTAATATGCCACGTTATTACGGATGGCGATGTTTACATTTGACAGAAGAATCCATTCCATATAATGCATTACATCACGCACAATATATTACAAGAACTCATGTTATGAATGAACATAAATTACCTGATTTCTATGATAACTTAATTATATCTGAACAATTAGACGCTATAGTCCAAAGCTTGAAAAAGCCCATAGAGGATGCTATTATTTTTGAACATTGTAGCAGATTGTGAGTATAGAATTTTAAATCATTATCTGTAGTTGAAGTTTTACATTGTATTTATAAAAAAGGAATGAATCCATTGTAGTATATTATGACATTTAATTCCATTGTTATTAATTTATAGAAACTATTGCTGTGTCATGTGAGTTATGTATGATCTGTATTATAGGAGGAAACATGAAATAACAAAGACAATAAATAGTGAGAAGGAGATGCACAATCTTATTGCTAAATCAGTTGCTTATCAAATTAATAGAATAATATTAAGTACCCTAGCTTCGTTGTTTCCACATTTAATGGAAGTTGAAGTAGATTTTGAACCAAGAAAAGAAGCATTTTGGTTCATAGGTGGTATAGATCCTCCCGAAATACTAAGGAAAATGAGAGCAGGTTCTAAATTCACTAAAGATATAGTAGATAATCCAGTCGATTTGCCAGTTCAGTATTTTGGTTCTCCAATATTGCAATTAAGGCACAGAATTCCTTTGAAAGAAATTATTCCTTTAAGTGAATTTGCAAATATAGATTGCAATATTCCCAAATTCAAGTTAGATCCTAGAGTACTGGGGTATAAATTGTTGCATTATCATGGCACCAATATACCTGGTTTCTGGCCTGGTGATCCAGCAGAATTTGGTTTATTATCTTATCAGAATTCTGCTCATTTACTACACAGAAATAAGGCTTATAATGATGAGCAAGATGCACTTACAGTGCAAGCTATATTTGCTTCTTACAGTTGGCTGTTGTCTCAGGCTTGTTATCAAGGTATAATAACATATTTGTTAAATTTGATATTTTATTGGACAGACGAATACATTTGATTGCCAAAAAAAATAACAGACACATTCTTCTTATGTCTTGATGATTTTAGGTTTTTCTACATTCAATGATATTACATATCCATTAGTAACACAAACTGTTATAACAGATGGACAGTCATTGTCATTCTGTTCTTACCAACTGAATACAACATTATTACATTCAGAACATGCAGATGTGAATCCTATGTGTAATGTATGCTGGATAACAGAACCCAAAAAACTGTTTGATGCAGTGGAGAATGAGAAAATTCATGGCTTCAACGAAGATGTTTTAAAAACATTGATAAAATTTTATATTAACAAGCCAGAAGAAAGGATGGGAGTAAATCTGAAGCCTTATTTAGGAGAATCTGTAAAACACATTGCTGATATTCCGGATGACGAGCGGAGAACTTGGCTAGAACAACATTTCAAACATCTTATGTCTAACAGGCCGAGAAATATGTACGTAAACAATTACATAAACAGTTAGAAAAATCGAGTGAAAGATTTTTATCTATCATTATGTAAAATTAATCAATTGTTTTTTTGTTTCATAGCCCACTGCCAGAAGTAGCTGATTGGCAATGGATTTATAAGATTCATCATAAAACCCGACCCATGGATAAGAAACGCGATCCATGGGAGTTCGGTTTCAAGCCATCGAAACGAAGACTCAACTTTCATTCACCAGCTTATATACCAAGATGTCTTAGAGAAAATCCGAAAAAAAGACATATAGGGCGACGGGCGAAAACGTATTATCCTGACGCATAAATTATCTAGTTGATGTAAAAATAAAATAGTAAAATACAGTTAGTTCATTTCCTCCCCCTGACTGGGCATTGAATTAATAGGTATATCGAGTCATAGATATTTATTGATACATAGATTCTGTTACGTGCAAATGTAAATGACAATGAGACTATATACAAAGTATAATTATAATTTATACGTGATCGTGTTCATAGAACGCGGCGATAACTTCAGTTGAATTGTACCTTTATATGCATCCTGTAGAGTCACGGTGTTTGGAGTCGATTCTCTGGAACACGGAGCAAACGATTAATTAAAGTAAGTTTTTTGAACAAAGGGCTTTATACATGTCAATTGTACAGCGTTGAAAGCACGAGATCTCTTCTAAACAAAATAATAAAAGTGTGTTGTCTTACTTGTTGTAAAGTACAACGACAACCTCCTTCGAAGGTGTTATAAAAGCCGTAGCCTTGATCGTTTCTGTATCGGTAATATCAATTCTAGTAGAATTTCTTTCAACGAAACTACTGAAATGTTTAATGGCATAATACATAGACAGTTTATAAAATTCATCCTTCTCTGGATTCGCAATAATAGCTGCATTGAGGAGGACATTAAGCCAGTTTGGACCACCTGCTTTGTCAACTACTAAATTCCAGTCTACCCATCCGACCGTCCAGTGATTGAAATGCTAAAAGCGGAATATGTCCGCCAGAGAAAATGATGATGTAGATCTTTAGATCAGGTTAAAATGATTTTTCGCAGTTTATGTTATTGCGGTAAGGAAAGTCGTTTACCTTGATCATGCTTAGCATATACTTTTCTCCGAGATTCCATATTTTCGACGCGACGTTCGGTGTTCCCCAATATGGCGGACCTAGATACGTATAAAATGAAAAAAGTCAAACTTGTTAAAGGAATTAACGTCCAGTATACGTACGTATAATTCAGACTCACCCCCGGATGTTTCGGTCATGATTATGATTTTATCAGGGAATTTATCGTGGGTGTCATCTAGCACAGTTATAGAAGTTTTGTCATCGGCGTACCAATGTATGGCTGTTCCAATAGTGTACCTCGATGCATTTTGGTTCTTAAACAATGGATTGATAAATCCTGGCAATAAATCTGTATTGTCATCGAGAGCCAAGACCCGTGTGCCCTTGCTTGTCGACGATTCTAAAGCCGGTCCTAAATTGTTAGCAACCCAGCGGCTTAGGTCTTCAGGAATCCATCCCATAGTACACATAATCGTTGCATTGACTCTGTAATGCAACGATGGTTCGTTGTCTGTTGTAATCGCCCACATATCTAGACCGTGTTTCTGATATTCTTCCGCAAACTTTGCCAAATAGTTTGCATAAACCTGGTAGTATTGATCCTTCAAATAACCTAATCATCATTTTAACAACTGTAACACTGTGATCTATATGTTACAGAAATAAAAATATTCTTATTCTTTGCAGGATTTTGCAACTGGACTTACCAAAACGATCATACTTTTCCGAGGTTTTCATCCAGCCAGGCGCTGACCACGCACTGCCGAAAAATTTTATTGTAGGATTCAGTTTAAGAGCCTTAGTTAAGTATGGTATTTTGTAATCATGATCCTCTTGCGTGAGGGCAAAATGTTTCAGTGACGTGTCCCCGACAATATCATCGTACGAGTAGGGTCCTGTCGAGGCATCGGTAGCACCAATTGGGATTCGAGCAATGTTGTACCCACTTCCTACTTTTGGATCGTAATATGCGCTGTAAATAATAAGGTCTGGATAAACGTCTCAACTATATCCGAATGGAACATAGTACGGATAATTATTAAATGTTCGTGCTTGTGGAAATCTGTGTCACTTGTAAAGCACTGTTTTATAATAATTTCATCTGTATTATGTTTTATTGGAGATATCAGTGGTTACCGTATCAATTGATCTTGCGTAGCCGTACTGAGATTCCTTAGGTTTATACCGGTAGCATCGGTAAAAGCACCGCCAAATCCAATAATTCTTTGATATGTCTTCTTTCTGTTTATGACTAAGGTTACATTGGAAGATGAATCGTGAGAATCACGTCCACTGAACTTCGCTGTCGACATTTTCATCCTGAGTCCCTCCTTGTTTGTTACATACCAGTAGAAAGTTCCACTTTCCGGAAGTTTGGGTTGATTGTCGTTCGGCGTATCATCGCAATAAGTTGAATTACAAATGCAAGCGACTAAGTCGTTACCGACAAAATAAGGTGCGCACTCTTTCGTGTTACCTATAATTCACAAAGTTGCTGTAGAACATGTAGATTTTGTATACGCAGATGGAACAGAATTATTTACCTTTGCCGAGAAAAAAGGCAACAACAAGGAACGGTATCCACATGCTTGAAACGTTCGGTGTTCAAAGTTGAATCGATTCGATGGCTAACTTGTTATATAGCTCCGACAACGTGAGTTTTAGAATGAGGCAAGGGTATTTCGACGGTTCGTTGTCACTTTTATCACAGATATCTACTATGTCACGATCGTGTCAAGTGCAAAATGTTTAACTTGTGTCTAACATATTGTTAGATTACCGTTTACATTTCAAGACTAATTCCATTGTTTTCGATTGAGATTCTTCAAACGGATATTTTAGTTCAAATGTTTATAAAGTAAATGTCATAATGAACTACGTGTTTAAAAAGGTTCACACGCACACGCACACGCACACGCACACGCACACGCACACGCACACGCACACGCACACGCACACGCACACGCACACGCACACACACACACACACACACACACACACTGTATTGTGTAAAAGTATAGATTTATGTAATGACAGAGGCCTATAAATGGTTGATTCATACTTGTCAAGATAACTCCTAGTAAATTACAGTAAATATATGACGACTAAAGTGTTATACGTTTCTGGTTGTATATTCATAACAAGTGTTCATAATGGTCAACAGGAAACATGTTCGTTTGCCAAGTTTTCGAACTCGTTTAAATATTTGCGGATGTACTGCACTGTGCTTGAACACGCGAAGAAATAATTACATATGTATACCTATTTGTAAATGTTTCTTCGGATCTCTATCTGTTGATAACTAAATTGACTCCGTGTTTAATATTACGAATTTAAGCTTTGTGAATCATGCCCGACCAGGGTTCTCGATAGCGGTTGTTTATACACACATGTTCTTGTATTATGCAACAAAGGTAAAAAATTGTGTCGTGAATGCCTTGTTATAGCAAACTACGAATTGCTTTGGCAAACACTTTTATCTGCAGAAAGTTTTTATGCTTGGAGAGAAATGAAGGAATATCTTTCTGCTTGATCCCATGGGCATGAAAGAACTTTCGGATATTCCAAGACGAAGTATATTGTATTATGATTTACCGATCACCTCATATTATTATAAACATGATGAACAAAAGAATACAAAATTTTCTTTTAACGATAGTAAAAAATAATAACGACTAAAAGACATTTATGTTGTATATAGTAAGTATGGGGTAAAGCCGGGTACCCGGTTGTGCCCCACATGAGGTAATTTACTAAACATTACATATTTACATTTCAGCATGCGATAAAATGACGGGTAAAACGTCAAAATACTGCGCAAAGACTGTAGAATATAATTCGGCACTTACCGTCACAGATTCTTCAAATGTAAGTGGAATAACAAAGCCAATTCACCAGTACAACATTGAAACGTTTCTAGTCGAAATTTTTCAATTCCTCTAAATGTAAAATTACGACGACGTACTTTGCTCTATGGTTGATCTCATAATGTAGTGAGGTCCACCCGAGTCTAACACCATACGCCATACGTCGGCTGGATCTCGTAGTTTTTATTTTAGAAAAACAAACGTACCCGGTTTTACTTGCTGCACACGTCTGATTTATTGTTACAGGTGACGTTATAGCTTCGTGGATTATATAATACATGGGTATTTTATAGTCAGTATACGAAGGTGTTCATCGATTGCGGGGACAATTCCAGGCTAAGGGTATCTTTGTTATCCTTCTGTACGTCCCTCAAAAGCACTTTATGTGCAACCTTATCTCTGTAATGAAAGATGAAATTTTAATCGCGAGAGAAATTAACGGGATACTGTAATATAAACATCTCCACGTAATAAATCCTACATACTTGTTGTACAGCACGATAGTAGTCTTATTCGAAGGTGCGACGAATGCTACGCCGTGGATAGAGTCGGTGGTACCGCCGATGTCAACGCGGTAAGAACCCGTATCCACGAATCCACTGACATGATTGAGAGCATAATACATAGGTTGCTTGTAAAATTCATCCGTGTCCGCATTGACAAGAATAGGTGAATCAACGTTATTCCCAATCCAAGTTGGTCCACCTTTTAGGTCAAGAGCTAGATTCCAGTCGTTCCATCCGACATACCAGTTGTTCATATACTTAAATTAAAGTATTTTTTTTTATTAGCGATTGTTTATTTAATATTGTCGCGAAGGTAAACAAGGTAATTTAATTTACTTCTATTATGCTCAGCATATATATTTCTCCTCGCTCCCACGACCCTGGATCAACCTTTATCAAACTTTGGCTACCTGTACGAATGTACATCGTTTTTGTTATTGAAATCGATAAGAAATGCGGTGAAAAGTATAAGTGTTCAATCGAAACTTACTCCCGAAAAAATAACAAAACTTTAACGAATCAATCGAATTATGGCTGTTTACTACAAACTTAAATGTACGTGAGTGTGAGTTATGAAGATTCATCTCTCGAAACGCTTACCTATGCATGCTTCTGTCATCAGGAGAAATTTATCCGCTCCTGCTGTGTACTCCCTTGCCTTTTCATTTAAAAACACTAAGTATATATACCACGGTATATAAATTCTTTGATCATCCAATGCCAAAATTATTGTATCTTTATGGTCCGATTTGGCTAGAGTTGGTCCCAAGTAGTCAGCAATGAATATGGCCATACTCTCAGGAGACCATCCCATATTGTTCAGGGGGTCAAACGGTACTAAAGCATCGGCTGGTTCGTTACCCGTCGAAACAGCCCAAATCTTGAGACCGTACTTCTTATATGCATCCAAAAATTTCAACAGATAATCGCAATAGAGTTGGTAGTATTGCTTTTTCAAGAAACCTAATCAAACATTAAACATTACAAGAATTTTTGCCTACAGAAGGACTTGGTGCCACTAAATGATTGTGTGGAATGTATTGCAACTGATCGTGAGTTGGTCTGATCATTGGATACCGCACTTTAATACAGATTTACCACCAAATCCGTTGAGTTTGTTGTCCGTTTTCATCCACGCTGGAGCTGACCAAGCAGCACTGAACAATTTTACGGAAGGATTTAATTCGAGAGCTTTCTTCACGAAAGGTATTTTATATTGGTAATCCTCTGGCGCGAGTGCGAAGTGTTCTAATGAAGTGTCGTTCGAAGTGTCGTCGTACGTGTAAGGTCTCGTTGAGAAATCAGTTCCTCCGATTGGTATCCGACCCAAAGTATACCCACTTCCTGTCTTTGGATCGTAATACGTCCTGTAAGTATGACAATCCCTTAACTAAGCATTATTTTATGTAAACTAAGATATTGTAAACTTAAAAATGATTATGTTCTGTAGAAATTTTACATAAACACATCGGAATCGTTGCGCTGTGTCATGAAACTTATTATTGTTAATCAGCTGATTCGGAATATCTTTGAGATATTTGGTACATACGACAATCACGTTGTTGAAACGTAACGATTCTTACTCTAGAATACTATCGATTACCTCATCAAATTCTCTTGAGCACCCGGGCTGAGCTTCTTTATGTTTATACCAGTAGAATCGGTAAAGGCGCCTCCAAAGCCAAGAATCTGTTGATACTTTTTAGTACTGTTGACGACTATGGTTATATTGCATGCCGGATTCTCTTTATAATTTTGAAACTCTACCGTTGCCCTCTTCAGTCTGAACCCCTCTTTGTTTGAAATATACCAGTTTGAAGACCCATCTGTAGGGACTTCGGAATGATTTTCCGGTAAACCATCGCAGTACGTTGCGTTACAAACGCATACGATTCTGTCGGGTCCTAAACTACGAGGTACGCAATCGTTGGCATTGCCTGTGAACAACGACAACTTTTATGACATCTGCAAGGTACGTCCATGACTCGAGAGTCATTCAGAAGAATTGTAATGAGAACATTCAAATTTACTTTCGATGACAAACAAGGTTACAACAAGAAATGCCCGCCACATGTTCCAAAAGTTCTTCGTTGGTACCGTTCGTTAACTGTGCAACCAGTTTACCGGAGGAAGTTATATAGACGGATATCTGTGTACTTTGGTCGATAGTAGGACTACATAATTCATACATGATTGTTGATAAGGCTTCCATTGCATTTGAAATTAGTTTCATCCTTTACCCATTCGGAAAAACCTTGGTTGTAAAGGGGACGCTAAAGCTGCCTTGCTAGGAAAAAGGCTTTGTCACCATATTGATAATGAATTAATTGGTATAAAGATGCAAACTAGAACATGAACGTCACGTATAGTTATGTTTCGTTGTGCGTAGATACGACGCGTCTTCTAACGAGTGTTATATCAGAATTAGCGTATCGAAACTAAACCGATTGATACGTCGACGATACAATTTACCGACCAAAACCGATCAAATACTCCAACTTCTGATGTGATTATATGTACATATTCTCTGATGACGATTTAAATTCTATAGTCCAGTTGAATTAGACTTCAAAACCCCCATTTTAAAAAGTAACTCTAATTAGTAATGTGTTTACGTGAAATTGTTCGCAAGGTCATTAGAAATGAAATGTATACGTTGAGACTCGTGAATTGTCGGGGAACATTGTTAACAAAATTCGAAAAGGTTCGAAAAACACGTTTTTCACGTGCAGAAGAAAACGTAATGATTTTCGAGAAAAAAAGGTCAAATAGAAAATGTAGGTATTAGAAATACTTATAAAGTGAGATATAGTACGTTAAAATCGATCCACATGTTAAGTTGCAAAAGAATTTAAACTATCTAAGCAGCATATATGCTTAATAAACCAAATACATAAATTAAAAACATAAAAAATCAAAAAAGTAAACATTTCGGGTTTACGTTAACTTTTTCTACAAATTTGGTCACGTTATTTGTTAATACTTTGTCGAGGTATTCCAAATTTAAAAAAATCATCGCTCTACGTTCATGTATTTCAGAGAAATCCTAAGTTTTTACAATTCCACCAGATATAATGCGCAAGGTCAATTTCAGGGTCTCGAGCTCGTTCACACGGCGAGCATTCCCCATTCCACTCTTGCGCGTTGCCTCATTCGCATACCGAAATTTTGTTGATCTTTATCCGAAAAGTCTCTAAATGGATTAATTCGAAAATTAATGAATAGCTAATTCAACTCTTCATCCAGACTTCGTCCAAATTTCTACTTTTAATGTTAAAAATTGACGCTACAGTGATTTTTCAAAGAAGAAAAATTATCTCACTTCTTAGTTAACTCCTCGGAGATCGTACGTTCGTCGCAATCGCATATGCGGTCGTTAAGGACACTGTCGTATATCGATCAAAGCACACGTCCGTTATTTCACCGCAAAATTTTCATTTAATTCAATTCAAATTTTCAAGCACATTGCAAAAAACGAAAGTGTGTAGCGGGCCTTATCGACCTAGTTAACGGACCATTGGTCATTTGTTCTTTCACGATCTGTTTGTCAGCTCTCGATCCAAACAAAGCATTTAACGTTCACGCACACGATACGTGCCTATATCTGGTGACTCGAGCGACGACCTCTTGAAAGTTGTTGCACTTATTCTTTCTTACATTTATTATCCATTCCTAAACAATTGAAATCCAAAATAAGGTGTTCGATTGCAGGTTTATCTGCGGTTGCCTTTTAATTAAGCGAAACGAAGGAATTGCGTAATTAGGATTTATTATTAAAATCTATACTAGACTATTCTAGTATAGATATTATCCCCACATCGCGAGGAACATTCTCAGTTTTTATAAAGTATAGTATTCATAGATTGTGCAGGTAATTCCACGTGAAAAGAACCCTTCTTCAAATCCTGGATTATCACATTCGTCGATATATTCCTCCTGCGGCAAAAAAATAAAGTGCAATTGAAAAGATCTGCGTATGCAGTGAAGTAACTTTTAAAAAGATTAAATATTAGCATAAGAGACCCATAAGAGATTCTAAGAATGCGAGAGCCTCTACTTTCAATAAGCGACAATTAATGCGATCAATAAAGTCTTTTATACGTAGTAATTGAATGTGATAAGCATTACTTGTTGTAAAGAACGACAACGATTTCGTTCGACGGTGTTATGAAAGCGTTGGCTTTAATATCGTTGTCATCGGTGATACAAATCCTGGTAGAGCCTCGGTGAATGAATCTACCGAAATGTTTCAAGGCGTGATACATGGGTTGCTTATAAAACTCATCAGTTTCTGCGTTCACAATAATGGGCGAGTCAACAGCATTATTAATCCAGTTTGGTCCTCCAGTTTTGTCTAGAGCTATGTTCCAATCGATCCATCCGACAGTCCAATGCCTTGTGTACTGAGGAAAGAGTATCATTTACTTTCAGTTGTACGCGTAATGTAATATAATTATTCTATAATCGGAAGGGTGGATAGGCAAGGCAGTGTTACCGTACTTCTATTATGCTTAAAAAGTACTTTTCTCCTCGAGGCCACGATCCTACGTCAACTCGTGGGGGGTCATCCGGGGTTCCTGTATAAATCAAGTGAAAGCGTTACTTGATCGATTTTATTCAAGTGTGTACGTATTTGTTTGAGTTTATATGGATACAGGATAAAGTTTCTGTTTCTTTTCAAAGACAGCGTAGACTCGACGTACAAACCAAACTTCCTATATTTCTCTCACGAAGCAAAGTTTAGAAACACGTTGCATCGCTTCGTTTGTAAGTAATATATATCGATATTATAGAAGCAACAAAGATTTTCGCCAAGCATACCTGTACATGCCTCGGTCATGAGAATGAATTTGTCTGGAAATGCATCGTGGGTTTCATCTAATACCTTTGCCGGTGCTATCGCATCGGTGTACCAATGTACAGTCGTGCCCGTGATGTATTTTTTCGCCTGTTCATTAGAAAACAACTCTTTGACGTACCACGGAAAGTAAACCCTTTGGTCCTCAACACCTAGAATCATTGTATTGTTATGCTTCGATGCGGCCAAACTAGGACCAAGGAATTTCGCAACCCAATTTGCCACAGTTCCAGGCGTCCATGCCATGGAGTTAACAGGGTCTTGAGGATCGATGGCATTTCCTGGCTCGTTGCCAGTTGAAATCGCCCACATATCAAGACCATTCTTTTCATACTCATTCAGGAATTTCAGGATATAATTCGTATAAACTTGATAGTATTCGTTTTTCAAGAAACCTAATGGATTGTCGGAAGAACGTTAAAAATAATTTCGGTTAGAGTGGACAAGTTGTACTTAACGATGTAATATTGTAGATATATATTATATTTACCACATCCATTGAATTTGTCGTCAGTCCTCATCCATGGCGGTGCAGTCCAGGGGACACCAAACAATTTCAATTCAGGATTAAATTCAAGAGCTTTACGTATGTACGGTATCTTATAATCGTAATCTTCTTTCGCGAGTGAAAAGTGTTCTAGCGATACGTCGTTTTCTACATCGTCATACGTGTACGGTCTCGTTGAAAAATCAGTGCCGCCGATTGGTACGCGACCTAACGTGTATCCGCTTCCTCTTTTCGGATGGAAATACGCTCTACGATAAATAGAATCTCCTTACTCGTGTGACCTTAAGTACTCTGGTTATGCACGTACGTTATACATAGGTAGGATCTCTGTTACTGTTTGCGATATAATTACCGAATTAGTTGATCCTGAGTAGGCTTGCTGAGCTTGCTTATCTGGATGCCAGCAGAATCGGTAAAGGCACCACCGAAACCGAAGATCGTTTGATATTTTTTCGTGCTATTTACGGTCAAAGTCACGGAGGAGGCGAAGGGGGAACGTCTATTCTCACTGAACTGCCCTTCTGTCATGTTCAATCGTAGTCCGGTTTTCGTTGAGACATACCAATAAAAATTCCCTTCTGGCGGCACTTTCGGGTCATTGTCGAGTGTTTCGTCGCAATGGGTAGCATTGCAGACGCATACGAATTTGTCGGTTCCGAAGCTGCGAAGAACGCAACCGTTGGCATTACCTGTGAACAACGATAACTGTAGTGACATCAGCAAGTTACATCGATGACTCGAGAGTCATTCAGAAGAACTTTAATCTTTTCACTGCGGCGCACTCTCGCACGGAATCATCAATATTGTATACGGTCCGATATGCGCACGTCAGTCGTTAAAAAAAAAGACCTAAATTCTATGTTAGATCAGTTTAGGAAAACGGTAAATGTGTTGTAGTAAGAAAAATTTTGATGTCGTATATGTATACATATGTATACGCCTTTCGTATACAGGTTGTCCCAAAACCATGGGGCAATCCGTAACACGGATATTCTTAATACAAATACAAATTGAAAATTTTTTACCGTTTTGTAATCTGAACCTCTATGTTCGAGATATTAGCAGTTAAACGAACACGACTTAGCCGTTAACGAAAAGTCAAGAAGCAGAGGCCAATGACTTGGGTCGTGCGCTTCTTGACTGTGTCTATGCGTACCTGCGAGTTTGTTTAACTGCTGATATTTCGAAAATGGAGATTCAGATCACAAAATGGTAAAGGACTCTGTGATTTGTATTTTTTGACATTGATAAATCAGCGAGGGCGTATACATATATGTATATACATGTATACGCATTTCGTAGTCGAAGGGTTAATGAGAACAATAAAATTTACTTTTGACGACAAACAAGGTAACAACAAGAAATGCCAGCCACATGTTCCAAATGTCCTTCGTTAACTGCACCACCGGTAACTGTACAACAGTTTACCGATGGAAAATATATAGACGGATATCTGTCTACTTTAGACAAGGGCAGGGATAACATAATTGATACTTTGGTACATGATTAACGGTAAGGCTTAACGTTGTATTTGAAATGAGTTTCATCCTTTCCTCATTCTGTAGACGTGGTGAATATCATACGAATAACGCCAGGCGAATCTTTTAAATTCCTCTGATTCTGAGTGACGGGAAAGCTTTGGTTGTAAAGGGGTCGCTAAAGCTGCCTTGCTGACAAAAAGGTTTTTAACTATGTTCAGAATAAATTAACCAGTATAAAGATGCGAACTAAAACATGAACGTCACGTATAGTTATGTTTCACTTTGTATAGATACGATGTGTCTTCTAATAAGTTTTATATCAGTATCAGCGAATCGAAACTAAACCGATTGATATAATATGCCGACCAAAACCGATCAAACACCCTAAAGTCTGATGTAATTCTATAAGATCCTAAATTCCTAAAAAGTACATGTTCGTCAATGCAAATTGGGTTGCTTAGACAGGACCTAGTATAGACTGGTTTAATGTACCCAAGTTAGCCCATCGTGAATTTCCGAAATTACGTATCTTGAAAGACGAGGCCACACGTAATATCACGGTGTCTATGCAATCGATACAACAAGTAAATATATTAGAATTTGTTGTAAATAATGAATATTAATTTGTTAAGATTACATACTAAATATACTTAATAAGTGTGTAAACGTAAAAATAAATATTCATTATTTGCAACCTGGCAGCAGGGCGTGGTTCCCGCTGACCTATAATAGAGTGATAGAATTACAATAACAGTAGACTCACGTTAAGGTAGCGCCCGTTAAAATAGCGTTAGGAACAGGTGTATTAACCAAAGATGTATTTAAACCAAGTCATTACTCCTGTATTAACAAGCTGAGTATACAAACAACAGATACGATTCGATGTGAAAGACTTTGCAACAAGGGAGAGTTGTTGATGGAATGTTGTCTCGAGCAGAAAAGGAAAACCTGATAACGAGGCGGTGACGCTGGGAGCACGATTCATTACTAATATCGATCACACATCTTTTGTGTTACGTTTTAGATATGTTTAGACATGCGAGAAGTAATTACACTATTTTACATTTATACAATTATTATAATTAATATGTACTCTTAGCAAATAGGTATTCATAATTTGCAACAGAATTGATTTAGATTAATTTACGATTATTACCAACAAATATATATTTTTGAGACCATGACATTAACATTATAAAAAATTATATTTTTACCAACATGCTCTACTAAACGTTAATTGATTCAAAAGTGTTCTAATTAGATGCTAAAAAGCTTTCACGTGGAACATATTGTCCAAGTTGGGTGATTTTATTACCAATGCATCGATCTATTGCAATGTTGTAGCGCGACCCTTTTGCACGAATGATAAATATATTTCTTCATTCTATACGCATATTAGTGCTGCATACCATTGACATTCGAAACAAGGTTGAAGCTTATCGGGGGTGGATTTTCAATTAAGCGAAACAGAACAATTGCCTAATTGGAATTTATTATTGAAATCTATACTGCAAGTTATACGAAGTAAAATTGTACACATTGAACTGTTGGTGCATTGCAATGAACAGTTTTAATTTTTATAAATTATAGTATTCATAGATTGTGCAGGTAATTCCACGCGAAGAGAACCCTTCTTTGGATCCTGAATATTCACGTTCGTCGATATACGTCTCCTGCGGCAAAAAAATAAAAAGTGCAATTGAAAAGATCTGCGTATGCAGTGAAGTAACTTTTAAAAAGATTAAACGTTAGCATAAGAGACCCATAAGAGATTCTAAGAATGCGAGAGTCTCTACTTTCAATAAACGACAATTAATGCGATCAATAAAGTCTTTTATACGTAATAATTGAATGTGATAAGCATTACTTGTTGTAAAGAACGACAACGATTTCGTTCGACGGTGTTATGAAAGCGTTGGCTTTAACATTGTTGTCATCGGTGATAAAAATCCTGCTAGAGCCTCGGTCAATGAATCTACTGAAATGTTTCAAGGCGTGATACATGGGTTGCTTATAAAATTCATCAGTTTCTGCGTTCACAATAATGGGCGAGTCAACGAAATTTTTAATCCAATTTGGTCCTCCAGTGCTGTCTAGAGCTATGTTCCAATCGATCCATCCGACCGTCCAATGCCTTGTGTACTGAGGAAAGAGCATCATTTACTTTTAGTTCTACGCGCAAGATAATTATTCTATAATCGGAAGGGTGGATTAGCAAAGCAGTGTTACCGTACTTCTATTATGCTTAAAAAGTACTTTTCTCCTCTAGGCCACGATCCTTTATCAACTCGTGGGGGGTCCAGTTGGGTTCCTGTATAAACCAAATGAAAGCGTTACTGCGAGGTCGATTTTGTTCAAGCGTGCACGCATTTATTTGAGCCTGCATGAATACAGGATAAGGTTCCTGTTTTCATGAATCTAAAGAAAGATTTTCGTCGAGCGTACCTGTACATGCCTCGGTCATGAGAATGAATTTGTCTGGAAACGCATCGTGTGTTTCATCCAATACCTTTGCCGGGGATATGAAGTCAGTATACCAATGTACAGCTGTGCCCGCGATGTATTTTTTCGCCTGTTCATTGGACAACACATGTTTGACGAACCACGGTAAGAAAATCCTTTGGTCGTCGAGAGTTAGAATCTTTGTATTATTGTGCTCCGATGCGGCCAAACTGGGACCAAGGAATTTTGCAACCCAATTTGCCACAGTTCCGGACGTCCATCCCAGGGTGTTAAGATGATCGAAAGGTAAGTAGGCATTTATTGGCTCGTTGCCAGTTGAAATCGCCCATATATCAATACCGTTCTTTTTATATTCATCCAGGAATTTCAAGATATAATTCGCATAAAGTTGATAGTATTCCTTTTTCAAGAAACCTAACGGATTGTCGGAAGAACGTTAAAAATTATTTCGGTTAGAGGGAATACGTTTTGCTTAACGAGGTACTATTGTGGGTATTATATTTACCAAATCCATTGATTTTGTCGTTAGTCTTCATCCATGTCGGAGGTGACCAGGCGGCGCTGACCAATTTCAATTCAGGATTAAATTCAAGAGCTTTACGTATGTACGGTATCTTATAATCGTAATCATCTTTCGCGAGTGAAAAGTGTTCTAGCGATACGTCGTTTTCTTCATCGTCGTACGTGTACGGTCTTGTTGAAAAATCAGTGCCCCCGATTGGTACGCGACCTAACGTGTATCCGCTTCCGCTTTTCGGATGGAAATACGCTCTACGATAAATAGAATCTCCTTATTCGTGTGACCTTGAGTACTTTGGTTATGCATGTAAGTTGTAGGTTGGATGTCTGTTACTGTTTGTGATATAATTACCGAATTAGTTGATCCTGAGTAGGCTTGCTGAGCTTGCTTATCTGGATGCCAGCAGAATCCGTAAAGGCACCACCGAAACCGAAGATCGTTTGATACTTTTTCGTGCTATTTACGGTCAAAGTCACGGTGGTAGCGAAGGGGGGACGTGTATTCTCGCTGAACTGCCCTTCCGTCATGCTCAATCGTAGTCCGGTTTTCGTTGAGACATACCAATAAAAATGCCCTTCTGGCGGCACTTTCGGGTCATTGTCGAGTGTTTCGTCGCAATAGGTAGCATTGCAAACGCATACGATTTTGTCGGTTCCGAAGCTGCGAGGAACGCAGTCCTTCGCCTGACCTGCAAGTAACACAAAACGTTATTATTTTTGAATGTTACATTTGTCAATTAATTTGTAACTTATTTTGTCTGTGTTACCATTACCTGCAGCTGTAAAGAGGCCAATTACCAGCAGCGCCTTCCACATAATCCGACAGCTCATCAGTCGTAGCTGTAATTAAACTTACAATTAGTCGTATCAGATTGATTGGTATCAAGACATAGCTTATATGTGGATCCATATTGTGTACTTTGTGATATCGCATAGTAAACAACATGTGTCGTTAAGCACCGTTCGGAGTAGTGACGCTTTTCATTCGTAATGTATCAGTGATATATACTATACATACATAAGGTTTATTGATTATTTCAACAGAGTAGCTGATTCTCAACCGTTATACTCATTTGTGTGTAAAGAATTGACAATAGTTAAATCATCTGCAGTACAGTATTTACGGTACTGTCATTTAGTTTCTCGCTATTCTTGTAAGAGTATTATTAAACCTGAAACCTCACCCGAGTGTGATTTTTGAGACTCGAAACTCTTACACGATTTATATGTCAAAGTAACGCGTCAATGTTCTCAGTCCAGTATTCGAGATACATTTTAACTCAGTCTTACTTATTCGGTGATACACCAAGCACGTTTTTCAGTGGATATTTTTGTACCTGGAAAATGCTTTCCCGAGTTCCTTTCTACATTTATATTCTCTGCTCCGAATCGTGTACGAGTCAAGCGCTATTTTAAGTTGAAACAGACGATGATATTATGATGCAAAGATGTACCGGTGGAAGATGGCAGTGTGGTATTAAATACGCTATCTATTCCCACCTCAATGACACAACGCAATGCAACGCCCAATAATTTTGCAGATGCATGTTTACACCACTCCAAACTGCTTTGTTAATTGTATTGCATTGATGTGATCGAGATGTTAATGAACAACACTAGTCAACATTGTCCCATTTATTGAATTAGCAACAAGAAGAGACTCGCCCGAACCTAGTTATCGAATGCGTACAATGATAGTCAGGATCGAAAGAAATTTTGAGAAATTCGGAGAAGACGCATAGGCCGGAACTTGTAAAGTAATGGGACAGATTGGAAAAATAAGAGTTGCAAAAACATAATGAAATGGATGGAATGAACGTGGTAGCAGTTTTGTAGCCGCTATAACATAATTATACACTTTTTGGCACTTTCACTTTGCTAAGTAGATATTTACGAAAATATTCAGCGACGTCATTTTTCAACTGAATTATTTAACCTTCGTTGCCAGGAAGACACGATAAGTAACTAATTAGAAACAGGTCTATCTGCATATCTTGAATAACAGCTGCCAATGTATAACTTGTATTATATAAATTGGGTACACGGTTAAACGTTTCGCTCCAAGGTTACGTTTCGAACGAGATGAAACCGATATAGCGCGGTAAACGTCGAAACGAACGACGACGCCTCGACCATGACGAGAAAAAGGAAGATATTGATGATCGAAATTTCTCGAGTACCGTTGATAATCCGATCTGACTTATTGTTAGTAGCCGTAACTTTAGTAGCGTTCACGCGAACCGTCGGAAGTCGCGACAAGTGAATACGAAAGGGAAACATTTTAAATGGGATGACGCCACGGGTAAGGCTGTCAAGCTGACAAACAGGCTGTAAGATGCTACTAAAGTATCCGTACGCAAACAGGTTTCGCATCGCACACCTGTATATCCCTTCGAAAAGTAACGATTATTTCGTAACAACGCTTCACATATTAAGTATTCTATAGCATTTTCGAAAATGACCTTCCGATGCACACAACAAATTACTTTTACGAACATACTGAAGATTTCGATGCGAGTAATATGGAATGGGAACATAAGGCCGACAAGGTAATACCTGCGCTTGAGCATCTGTGCACTCGACAGTTATTCTCGATTTTCGGACTTTTTCATTCGCGAACTATGTATCAGTTGGCAAGTTAATATCTTTTATGTGACCACAATCAATGCTGTCTCTGCAGCTTTTTCTCTCGAATGACGCTATCCTATCAATTCTGTCCACGTCAATTGTTTCGATTTCCATAATAGTCAACGGGATGAAGCTCGAATAAAAGGGGGTCGTTGAGTAGGAGTTTCGTTTTAGAAGCAGTTTTAACGATTTTCAGTAAATCTCGCCTTATACACGAACAGTATGCCGTGCCAGTCCTTTGTTTGGAAGAGCAATGCGATAGAAATATGTATAATATAGAGTACCTACGGAATACTGGTATATTGAAAGGAAATAAGAATAGGTCGCAAATCGGACGGATTATCGTCTCGTTTTCTTTATACAATACATGACACGACCATTTGACATTCATAACTTCTTTCTCTGTAAAAGGAGATGAAAACCATCCCGAATTAATTAAAATAGTAGAGAGACGAAACCGCATAATTGCATCGGTAAGTATATTTTATTTAGTCATTTGACGGTCGCGGTGAACGATATTATGGTCGGCGCGAAGATGTTTCATGTAAGTCGCAGATGGAATGAACGATACGTACGCAAGTTAGGCAGCTGCGTTTAAAGATACGATCGATTTAAATAGCGTCATAAAATTTACATTTCGTCGCAAGTATCGACAAAATTATCGAGACTCAAACAATATTCTCGAATAACAGCAAGGGCAACGAGTCTTGCAGTATTTTCGTCGGCAGTTAGTCGTGGCATGTGTTTTTAATTGTTTTCGTTACCTATATGTATAATATTTCAATAGTTCAGTCTATCCATTCCAATTCCCCCGAGTCAAACACGTATAAATTATTGCGGAAAGCGTCGCTTGTATTTGAATTTTCAAATATTTAAATTCGACTGATTAGAATGTTTGGTTTATCTGGTTAGCAACAAGGATGATAAGTATGCAAAATTAATTTGGATTATGCATTCAGTTTTTTCTTTGTTTTTAACCGCGAGACCGTCTCGTTGAAAATCCATAACTTCTTCAGTTAAAAAACCTGTAAAGTCGTCTAATTGTAAGACGCAAGGAAATATCCTTTCCATCGAATCGAGAAAATAGTTTGTTTTTCGCGTCGATAGGTATTATTGGTTGAATTTAACGAGTCGTGGCTAAGGAAACGTAGGTAGTGTGGCGACTAGGATGTGGTCTGTATCGTTAGATAAATCGGGGAGCAAGATCGCGAGGACAGTCCAGCAGGGTGACTCGTTCCCTCTCGGAAGCGGTGGCGTGAACGGACAGAAAAATCCCGTCGAAATTACTTGCCTCGGGGTCCGAGAAAGTGGTAGGGAGCTTTTATGCGCGCGTTAAACAGATTGTTCCGGGATGCGGACAGTTCGATAAGTGGATACGATACGAACACGGAGGATCCGTGGGCTTTAATAAATCAAAGAGAGTCACTCTCCGATGTGCGAGTACAGGACAGAGGGGCGTTACGAGTTAGGTACGAATCGAGTGATATGATGCGTGAAAAAGGCCGAATTTCCGGGATTGCTGCTGCCCTCGTCGAGAAAAAACGGATCGTCGTTCGACGTAGTGCGCGTAAACACTACCGATAAAATTATTCCTTGCGAAACTGGCTACAGGTTACGAACCGAGAGAAAATTTCGTTCTCGCTCTGCATTAATTCCGGTCGAGTCTCTCTATTTTCTGTACGTTGTGATTCTACCAAATAAAAAGACTGAACGAGGTGGTGAAGTCTATTCGTTGAGAAGAAACGCGTTGAATGTGTATCAAGATTCCGGGCGAACGAACAAACAGAAAAATCTAACATGGATCGACTGCAAACACGCAGAGAACTTCTCGTCGAAATGTGAATCAGAAAAGTCCGCGTGGCATTCGACTGTCAATGGCACGTCGAGTCATTTGTTCACCTAGCTGGCACCGTCGAAGAATCGTGTTGACGTTCTATTAAATCCTACGTGCCCGATAAAAATGCATAGAGTTTAAAGGGAACTTGGAACACGCGCCTGGTCGTCATAGGTGAATGTAACGTCACGGAACGGACTAGCTTTTATTCCGGTGAAATTTCGGTGAAAACATCATCGTTTCGTCTCGTCTACATATACGTATGTAGGTACCTACCTGCTAAAAGGAACTGTTGCAATTGATCATTCGTTTTAATACAACGAGTGTACATTTCACTTATATTTGTTCCTTCGAAAAATTCACATTTCTCGATTTTTTATGCATTTAAAGAAAAAATAATTCTTTGAATGCACATTGATTTGTTTAACGGTTATTATCCGATTATTACTCCAGTCTTTGGCCACCAGAAATCGTTCGTACCGTTCTGATTGTTCACATGTACATATATACCTATCTATGTATGTACATGTATACTCTTTACGAAATGTTAAATATAACGGATAACTCGAAAGGCATAAAGACCGGCATTTGTATATTCTTGACACTGGCTAAACTATTTCTTTGGACATTTCATTCTTTGCGTATGGTCTTTTTGTAAGTTTCTGTTTTGATTTGTTTTCGTTTACCCCTTTTTATCGTTATCGATAACATCGAAATGATATAAAAAATATGGTTTTCCATGCACATACATCTCATTAATTCGTCGCGATAAGCGATAAAGACAGATCGTGAAAAGGAAAGTTTAATCTCGTATAGTTTGTCGCACGGTGTGCCAGACAACATCGTGTAGTTATGTAAATCGATGACGAAACTTTTTAATGAAAATTTGTAATCTCGAATTTTCTAAGAACTTTAAACTTTCGTGATGCGATGAAAATGTTAATCGGACGATGTCTCAGCGTTCCAGTGAAACGTCGAGTATCTAATGCGGTTGTCGTTTGCATTCGAATGTTCCTTTTCCTTTTCATCGTCTCGCTTTAGTTTTAACGTACGATATCCGTCTGTCCAGAAGCTGGATAATCAGATGTATTTATTTTCTGCCGTCTTGGAATACATTTTTAAGTCGATATGCAAATCGAAAACTTACTACCCTTCCTTGTAAATTGTGCAGTCACCAACCTAGTAAACGTAATTTTGTAATGTTCCGAATCTCCTAATAGGTATTTAATTTTAATCGCAAAATAAAAACGAAGGGACTGATGAACAGCAAATGTGGTCAGGCCATGTGTTATGAACTATCCGCGATATGTAGATGAAAGATCGCCGGTGTTCGTAAGAATAAGTGATACTATTTAGCTGGACCAAATTAAATTCAACCAAGATAAATGACGGTGTTACGCTAGCCTTGCTGCTGCAAGCGTGTGAAATGTAAATTATTTGAAATTAAGGTGCAGACCGGCGGTCAGGTTTCCGTTAAATGTATAAATACGCGCGGTCGGGTTCCAGCGCGAGTAATTCTCTCTTCAATGTCGTGTTGCTCGTCACGGTGGTATTTTTCATTAACTATCATCGCGCTAACAATTTTTCTTATTGATTGACCAATCACTATTAAGATTATGAAATTTTTATTTTTCGATCATTTTTTTAGTTGATCGATATAGTACAGGAAAGTAAGGAGAGGGACAGGCCACACAAATTATTATTAGATTTAGGACAGAGATCCCGCGCTTCGTAAGTTCAACGGGAAAAGTGTATTCCGCTGTTTGTTAATGTGGCATACGACGATCTCTCATTTGCTGCAATGATAAGAATGATTTAGTAGCAGTTTTCGCAAAACGTATAACAGTTGTGCTAAGAACAGAACAGCCAACTGTATTACGCAAAGGAACAAAATGAAAAACCAAAAAGGAAAGGAAATTCAGTTCTTATATTTGAAATACCCAATGTAGGCTAAAACTTGAGTCGCCAAGTTAATATAAAGCGAATCTCGAGTCACCGGGTCTGTAGAAAGTGTATCGTGTAAACGCGTATTCGGGTTTAATATACCTAAAAAAAAATGCTGGCTGCTGGAAACTATGCGCTATTCTCTGAACTGTTCCTTCGTTGTAGTCGGAACAGTTCTTTTTATTAAGTAAAGTTCGGCACACTGGAGGAACTCATTATCCGTGTAACCCGCGGCGTCGAAGGAGAATTTAATTTTGAGATCGTTATCCTTAGCAATTTACTCGGAACACTAAAAAATCTCGTTGTTGCCGCGTGTTCTGGTCATTTCGAACGAGACTCTATTCGAACGGATTTGCATAGTTTTATGAACGAAGCTAATGGGTTCAGCCTCGTAATTCATCCATTCGTTCAACGTTCATCCGCATATTGATTTTGCACGACACACACACACTCACATATACACATATTACACGCATAGTGGCCGGTTTTTCCCATTAATTTACTCGTTATGCAGAAAACAGATCCTATCCATCAATTTCATTTCATTCGCTTTTATATGACATACTTCGGAATTAATCGAGTTTTATAAAAATCCTCTGTTGCATTCTTTATTACGGTCGATTATTCGGCAAGTTTATCGAGTACCTGTAAGGTTTTATATAAATAATGCGCTCATCACTAGCTTGTAATACTTCTAAATTAGTATACATACCTATATTATATATATACACACACATATACCTAAATACATATGTAGATATATGCCATCGAATTCCACTGCCATCCGGTGGGTTTCCGTAGAGCTTTGTAATATTTTCTAGTCACGCGCGCGATATCCATGAACTTTAAAAAGTGGCGGCCTCGTGCTTACGGAATATTAAACCCATTCATATTTACCCTGTGACTAGATACAGTAGGCACGTAATAACGCACTGTCCCTTTTTTCCCCTCCCGGCCAGAAGTTATCGTCCCTTCCTGTTCGTTTCGCGTATTCAAAGTAAGACGGCATTATTTCACGACTTCCGATATTCGGATTCATTGCCGGCTGGCCCGTACTACGGCCATTTTTGATTCGGACTTATGAATATGAATTGCATCAATTACAAGGAACGTGGCTCAAGCTATTGCCCATGGGATCTGTTTAAAAAGCAATGTGCATGCGATATGTATTACGTTGTAGACGCGATCATTCGGTAATACCACTTGAAAAACCTTATTATATCTTGGTTAGATTTTTGAAACGCCCAAAGAATACTCTCGATGATTATACGGTCGGATCATTCTCACCGGCTTGCGTAGATTTTAATAATATTACATATTCAAATTAGATAAGATCGATAGTATCGCGTTCGAGGTTACGTGTTACATGGGAAATCGATACTCGACGCGTGAGTAATGCATCAGCTTCATTCCGTTCGGTCTTGTCAGGAAGCGTTAAAGCTCCTTAGACACTTTGAGTGCCTCTTTCTCCGAGTTCTCCGAGTTTACATCCGAACTCACTTTGGAACCGTTCGACGTCTCTAACGCGTCCTTTTCGTTCAGCTTTAGCATGCACCAACTTCCGCTACCTACGCGACTCTATTAAACTTGTTCGGCCGGAACTTTATAAATATCGATGCATCGTAGGATGGGTTTCCTTAGTTGCTTCGATCCCCTGGATCTTCTGGAAGATTTAAAAACTGGTCTCTGGACTCGTCACTCGTGTTCGAACGAGGAGACAATTGAAATGTGGAAATTATCAAGAATGCAAATACGTGCGAAGCAGAACTTAGTAAAAGATGTTTTTAGACACTGAAAATTATTCTGGATCGTAGTCGTAAGCCAGTTTTGACTGGTTTGGATCGGTGAAAATGAACTTCTCTTTTTCTCAATTCCCGTTACGCGTTCTGCATCTATTTTTCCTGCATCTATCTATTATTTATCTAGCGAATCGAAGATAAACATTTCTTGCGCGTCTCTAGCGAAGCGTAATAAAAACCAATCTCTGTTATTCTGATTTTCGTTTCAGCAAGCGACCAAACAAAGTTTATCGCCGAGTGAAATTTATCAATAGCTGTTCGAATCGCGATAACACAAGAAATTTACCATCGCTATACAAAATGATAATTGTGCCGGTGATTATGAAAGTGGTGGAAAGTTATATATTTTTTCGTTCTAAAGATTCTTTCATAAGATTGAAGTATAATCGATGTAATATGAAATGACAGAAATTAATATTTTTGCTGTTTTGACTTAAACCACTTTCATAATCACCGGTACAATTGACGTGTGATTTACCATGTTTATAAATTTTATGTTCCGAATGTATATAGAAGATCTTGGAGTGTAATCGGAGATCGTTTCTGGATGGATATCAATTGGAACTAGTAGAAAAATGTAATGTAACATTTTGTAGCGACGACCAGTATATTATCTCGAAGGCGGATAAGAGGGACGTAATGTACCTCGGTATACACGCGTGTATGTACGTATGTACAGTGTATGTATGTAGGACCAGGGAACGGTATCAACAGCTATGTACCGTTCTACCTCTCGATCTCTCTGCTCCAACTTTTCGTAATGGATGCAGGACGCATCTATCATCCCTCGTCATCAACGTCAAAATCCAGAATTCTGGCCAAACAGAGCAGCCATTGGTTCGCCACTGAATACCGACTACCGAATACAAAAGAGCAGCCAACGAATAGCAGATATGTAGTATGTTCAACTGCTTGCCGTGCCTTTATATTCATGGGATCCGCGTGCCCATACGCGTGCACGCCCTCGTATCAACACACTCCATCGTGACCGCGAATTTTCATTTTCCGGATTTCTACGTTAATTAATGTAGGATAGGGTGGTTGTGCGTGCCTGCAGTCTCTAGAATAAGTTGAATGTTTTGTATGAACGATGAATGCCTGGAATTGAGCGGATGTTTAGACTAATAGATATCGATGTTGGCGCCGAATGTCTGTAGACTGCGTCGTGAGAATTTGGGCGCCTCGCACTCTGGGTGTCTGTGTGTGTGACTGTGGGTAACCTTTGTGAGGGATATGGTTGGGAGGCAGTCGTTGGAGAAGAGTCGTTGGAGAAAAGTCGAGTTGAGAGAACGCACTTAGAGAGTCGACCGGTGAGATTGAGAGCAGAGAGTAGCGTGGAAAATAATTTGTTGCGTTAAACTATTAGTATTGTGTGTGTTGTTTTATTTCATTTTACCGTTCTTTTATCTTATTTAATAAACCATATATATTTCTACTGGAAATCCCATTTAATTTTCTACATTAACCATTGATATACTAGTGTGCAATCTTTTAATAAACACTCATACAAGGTCGGAAATACGATAACAACATTTTATACGCTATGAGAACGCTCGCATTGTCGTCGGACTTTAAACTTAGGAAATTTTTCTTGTTTTTGTAATATTTTGTACAGGACAAGAACGCATTTTTCACACGTTCTGCGATTTAGTCGATTTCCCGAGAACAATCCGTTCGTTACAGGCCGACGCGTTTCTTGCATCTATTCCGCCACAGCCTACGTACAAGTTTTGTAAAATAGTGGAAAATATACATTGACGATTTCACACGTCGACGAACGAATTTTTGCGGAATTTTATCGCAATGTCCACGAGGTATGCGCAAAAATACAGCATGCAAATCAGGCACGTTGGAGGCATTCGCATTAGCTAATTAACTAAAAAAAAAAATTCCTCTTTTGAAGTTTCTCGAGTTTTGAATTTGCCAGCAACTAATTCATGAACTTTTTCAATTAGGATGTTAAAACAGCAAAGAAACGTTGCATCGTGAAATCGAAAGTATGGGAAACGATTTTGTTTGTTCCCATCAATTCTAATTCAGTTTAAGACGCAGAAAAGTAAGTATTCCAGAGTAGTTTAGCTATCTGGTTCGCAACCGACGATAGACCCTGCGAGTCGTATGTTGCCAAAAGTTTGAGTACTTCGGCGAATATCTGAAATTATATTTAATTTTATCGAACGAGTATAATTTCTCTTCCTGTACAGTATGAACCACATAACTCATGAGTATTTACTACTTTTGTTTTTATCATTGATGAACTTGTCGCATTTTTTGAGATGGTAAACGATGTATAGAATGTGCAGAAAGTCATTTAAACTAATAACGTCAAAAAATATTTAATTATTTTTTTAACCGTGAAAGTGTTGTTAATAGGCGCGAATAAGTTATGTGGTTTTCTTTGTACAGTAAAAAGTCAATTTCTAGAATGCGTACGTTTGAAAAGTCGAGCGGAGTCTGTGGTGATGCCGTAACAGCTGTTGAACCACGGTTCGATTGGGGGGCTGCTTCATTGCTCGTCAGCTACTCCATCGCGTTGCAGTTAACCAGAGTATCAGTAAGCGAGGGAGACGCATAAAAAGCACGAAGAATAGAAATTTGTCATGAACATATTTTTACCGAAACAATTAGTCAAATCGTGGTAGAATAATTATTGCATGTATTTAAATAGTATCTATAGAATGGCGAAGCAAAGCATTCCTTGAAACAAGCAAACGTACCGAACTATGTGTGTTTCGGTAAAAATGTATTGAATATCGACAAGAATGTTCGATTTAGTGTATTAAGATACCTACCGTTGTGACTGTGACGAAACACAGAAGTATGATGATCGTGAGACATCGCTGTTGCATTTTTCTACGTAACTTGCTGCAATTCTTCAGTCGACTCGTATGCCTTTTACGGTGATTATTACCGGTGGGTATTTGTCTTTTATAGAGAGTCCGTTATCTAGCTTCCAACATTATCGCTGGTAATTGGAGTGTGCGAAGGTAATACGTAACGAGAACTTTGTGCCACTAATCGAAAAAGAATGGAAAGGTAAGGTTTGCGTATGCAAAAGCGTTATCTACAAGCGCATCGTTCAATGCCTCCGGTAATGGTGGTAATTGTGTTAATTTGCTGACAGGTCATTGACGCAATCCGACGAAAGGATATCTTCAACCAAGACGTGCGTTCGACACAATTTTTTGGAGCGATCTTGATCCTCTCGGCGGATCCGTTAATTAGTCTTTTTTGTCTCGTAAATTTTTTATTGCTTTTCTCTACCCAAATAATAGTAATACCAACACATCCGTTTTATATCGTAACACGCATGGCGTAAAAGCACGTAGCGGTCTGTCGAGACTTGCGAGAAATCTGTCGAGAGTAATGAACCAGCGTGAAACGAACGAACGTTTCGACGAAAAACTCTTATCCCGACTCGACCGAAAAGACTGTGAAAACGTTTTACTCTAGAGAGTGTATCGTTTCGCGGTTTCCCTGTAAGTCGAAAATAAAGCGCGAGATCGAGACGGATGAGAAGAAGATATATTCTCGTAATCGGTTGGGAGTAATTATCGCAAAGTAATTGGATTACCTTTGGAAAGGTTGGTCCGGCGGGCGTGTAACTGGGGCGTACAGAGGAAACGTATTGGCGTAAGTGGCGTAATGCCGGGGGTAGGACGGCTGGCGCGCGTGAAAACAAACCACCGGTAATGATCGAAGTTTGTCGCGAGGCCACTCGAGGTAATGGCGAGTGGTTAGACGAGCGCGTGGTCAAACGCAACCCTTTGCCTCGGCAACCCTCGGCAACCATCGGGATTACATCGAGATCCGAATGGTATGGAAAGCAAATTGTTGAAGCGGACGCTACATTTGACTCTCCTTCAAACTTCCTCGCGCGAGAATGGAATATCCTTCGGGTCTCCCGATTGTTTCCCTCTTAATTCCCGACCTCTTATTTTATCGACCAGTCTTCGTAACTTCTCCATAATTCACCGTTTATCAAACCACTCAGAAAAAGCTCGATCAAAATCGACGATCGAATCGGTCCGTGGAGATTGAAATACGTTTTTCAATTGTGAGAGTGTATAATGTGGTTAGATCGGTCGCTAGTTTGCAGATACAATTGGGGACAAAGTAAAGAAATGCTTGTGAATACGTGATGTGGCACGCATCGGTGAGTAGATATACATATGTACATACATATATGTATTATACATATGTATGTATAACGTAGAAGCCGGTTTAGCGTTATAAGAGGGATGCAATATTTTAGGAATTTCAATACGGCACTCATCTCTTAAAGTGCAAAGTTTCACTTGCCAGTGTCAGTCAACAGAGAACTCTGCCGTGTTGTCTCTGCAGTCTGCATGCATTTTGTATTTACAGTGTTACTCGATGAGCAACGTGTCGCAAGATCGTTTCACATACATGGAGTGTTCTAGAGATCGATAAGTTCGTATATCCTGGAAAATACGTTTAATTGGACAAACTTAACGTGTAAAAGTTAAAAAGGATCGAGGAAAGTATTAAAATTAGTTTAGTACTCCCGTGCTTTTATTTTCTGTAAAAAAACTCGCCATTAAATGTATGCCGATTAAAAACTTGTTTGGAAAATGAACGAGTAACGGTATTGTAGTTTGTCCCGCGAACGAGAACAATCGAACCACCGCGAATAATTAATAAACGTAATACGAACGGGCAAGACGAATATAGGTATTGTGCGAGAGACTTGTACTTTACTACCAAGTTTTACGGCTTAATTTGCCTTCGTTGCCGCAAGGAGAGATAATAAGAGTAATGTTCCTTGATTATAGAGCGCGCTGTGGTATCGCTTTGTTACCGTCTCGCAAGGGTAACATGAAAACTCTAGTCCGCTTCCTGCGTAACTTATCGAAATCAAGGTGGTCATACTTCCACTGGAAGAACACTTAATGCAGTTCTAATCTGTAAGGTATATTTTTTGAAGTGTGGGCCACTGGCACAGGCCTACTTAAGATCGAAGACAACGCGTAGAAGTCGTTGATTTATCAGTCTTTTCGACTACCATTTTTCAGTCTTGCTTTCTCTATGTTATTGCAAATGAATTTGTTTCGATGGCTCTTCGCGTATTCCACAGAATGTTGTTCCATTTTCATCCAAATTTAACACGAATTTTTCTCCCGAAAGTCGTCCGAATTGGAAGATGCAGTTTCGCGTTCAAGTGAAATATTATGCACATATTTATGTATAAGAGAAATGTTAATGAGCTAATGAGCGACTCGCGGAATCGAATGTTACTAGTGTTTCGGAAAATTTATGCGGGCAGTTGAGAAATTGGTAATGCGCCCGCGAAACTTTGTTCGGTATTGCTGCTTTAGTTCTAGTTTCGCATAATCGAAGCCAAAAAATTCGTAGAACATAGTTTTCAAGCGTTTGACTCACGTTTATTGTAAAAATAAAATATTCTAGTCGGACGATATCACTGTGCGATGGTATCGTAGTTAAATTGAAGATGAGTAGTAAAAGTAACGTTCCTCAATTGCTTCACGACAGACGGATCTGTACAGTAATAGAATATTAACGAGTCTAATCATCGTATCGTGGGTTGCGATATGAAGTCAGCGCGACGATAACGTTTTACAGCGAACTGGAAAATTACATATCCGTGAGATTTACATAAAAACGGTGTTCTCCGTAAACGTAAGCTTTTCAGGGTACGGCGTAGTTGCTTGCAATGTCGCGAATATAAAGGCTTCTGCGTGAAACAACATTGAGGGCTGAAAACATGTCGCAAGTCGAATACGTGGCCAGTGTTAATTAAATTCTCGTTAGACAGATATCTTTGCGCAGTACAGTTTTTTAGTCCAGGCTGGTTAGCTAGATTCAAGCCATGATATGTCATGGATAATAAATTACCGAATAAGAGGGTTGCTCTGTCGCGTGGTTTTTTTCTAATGTAGCAATAAGTGTTGATTTTTATATTCGTACTGACAGGAATATTCTACCTCATAGTAATAGCGATATCTTTTTATGTGCACAATTATCGTCATGAGTCATAACTGATGACGTAGATACGACGCTCATACCAAATAGTTATGTACATGTAGGTACATATTGTATTTATATAGAGTAGTTTAAAGGAAAACGAAATGCGTCGATACGGTTCCTACCAGCGGTAAAAACTAGTTACCGTACAAAGATAAATTCCAATATCTGCAATCAAATATGATATACAGATTTGGAAGTGGTGACTAAGCAGGCCACTTGGTAGGTGCAATAAATTACAACAATATCTCGAAAGCTAATATTTGTATACGCTTAAATATGGATGCATCAAAACTGATGGAAAATATCGAAAGTTGGAAATCGAATTTGAATAATGAAATAACGCATATTATAGGTAATTACGCGAAGGTATTGACTTGCAAGAACGCCATACTAATTACACCATTGATTTGCCTTGGCACTAGAAGCGGATCGTCCACAGACGAAGTAGAGAGAGACGCGTTGCTTTGGCGAAATTTGCGTTTTCCTCTGGATTCTATTGTTCGTTAAAAGTCATTGAATAGCTATTCAGTTAACCAAATTGTCGGATGTTACGCTGCCTGGGAACCGGTAAAAAAGCTTTTGCTCGCCGCATGTTATTTTATTATACTCGTTGAATGGCGCTTGATTGATCGCCTTGTCGCGTCGCGTCGTGTCGCGTGGCGTGGTGTGGCATGGTGTAGTATGGTGTGTTTTCCCCACACACTCTTTTTGAAGTAGCGACTGACACGCGTGCCATGACATGTCTCCCTGAAGCAATTGGATCTTTCGGTTGTTCGGGACTTTAGTTTTGCCATGACCAAAATTTGCCGTTAACCACCGCTGCGAATGAAAACTTGCTGTTTAACCGTTGTTAAAGAGAACAGATGTGTAGCAGGACATGATAGACGGAAATGGTTGTATTAGGAGATCAAAGACTGAGCGTGTAGACTATGCTTCGGTTAAATGTACAAAGCTTTTCTCGGCAGGTGAACAACAAATGGGTTGTCGTAAGGGCACGGTGGCGTTAAAAGAGTCAGGTTGCAGAGTTTCGTCGTTTCGATGTCGTGCACGAAGCACGAAGAAATCCCGGAAGAAGGTTTGTCGGACGGAAGGTTCGATCCTCGGCCAGACAGTTTATAAGCTTGTAACAATCGGCACCGAGGGATTTGAAGTTTGCCCGTTTCGTAGGTAATGGCCGGTCCGACGCGTTCTTACCCTCGCACATTTCCCCTTCGGGAGGGTTATCGTCTCGACAGAGTTTCTTTTTTATTTTCTTCACTAGTATGCACAAAATATCGTAGTATTCGCACGGAACGTTTCAACTACCTTACGAACAAAGGATTCATTGAGCGTGTACCGAACGTATTTATGCGTTAACAGTGAGATTTTCTTGTAATTATCTATTGACGGATTAACTTTATACATTTTATGAGTTACACACAGTTTAAAATATGATGATCTCTACGCGTAATATATTTCACCTAGTACAGTTTATCAAAAATATTAGTGTGGGAACCAAAATTAATATTCGATTTGAAAGTAATAGAAACAATGTTTACAAGGGTTCTTCGAATCAAACTTTTATTTTTATTAGTACATTGTTTTCATATCATCGTTATCCTTTGTTATCGTGTGATTAAGTTTTTAATAAAATACCATAGTGAAAAATCAATTTTTCTGCGACCTTTCCTACATAAATGTCACCGATGTATAAAATTCGACGAAACGACTATAAGCTCGATGGTGATAATAATGAAAAGTGTCAGTACGATAAAAAAATAATGCAAAAATAGAAATATGAATAAAAAGTAACGAGGGTAGGTAATAATGGGAATAACAATATACGAGAAATGAAACGAAACGAAACGAAACGAAACGAAATGGTGTGTGTCG